CCTTCTGAATCTAACCCCAACTCTCTGGGGACTAGTTGAGGAGGTCTCCTCAGGTGTGCTGTGGCCTAAACCAAACCTCAGTTTGAAGTGATGTGGCAGGTTAACAGTGTAAAGTCTGAACACATCAGACTAACAACACACTGCTTAAACAATCACACACCAAATACAAACAAGTATCGCATCAGCTGTGACTCTAGTTGTTTAGTTATTGTATCCCATTGTAATGTTGGTTAAATAAGCATTATTAACAAGACGTGTTTCAAAAGCACGAGCTCGACTCGCACGAGCCTGATCCCAGCAGCCATAGCTGTGCTGAGCAAAATATCCTGTTAACTCAAAGTGTCCACCTCTGTGAATGAACATGGGATGTTTTGTGATGTCTGTGCCTGTGATATTCGTCTATCTCTGTAAATGTACAATTAATGGAAATGAATTTCGCTCTGGGACAAATAAAAGTCTAAGTCTAAGTCTTTAACTGTTATAAATAACTTTCACTGCCAAATAAAACCAGTGAAATCAGAGACAGAAATGTTGTATGTTCGGTTAATTTCAGTGTTTCTATCAGTTTCCAGCAGCAGAGAGAAAAGTCCCCTGTACCCAGCTGTGTGTCCATGAAGAGTGATCGGTCAAAAGATTATTGGTTTGACTTCAAAGATGGACTCCCTTCTTCTGACCTGCTGTAAGTAAATAAAACTTTTGATTGAAACAGATGAACTAACTGTTCTGATCCTCAGTCATGAGACACAGAATCAGGTGTCCATGATTTACAGTGTTGTTTATATCTGGTTTTCATTCTAATCAATCATGACAGAACACGTCTTTAACTAACTGGTCTGTGTGTGTTTTTGTAAATTATATAAGTTCTACAGTCTCCTGGTGCAAACATCATGTGAGCTCATTGTTGATGATTCCTCCACAGAGTGGACCTGGAGAGCTCAGAGGTTCCCAGTGGTCAGTCTGCCCAGCAGCATCAAACACACCTGGACTCCATATTTATGGTCTGTACATGTACAACAACTACTTTTACATCTATTCTGTTCACAATCATCTCCATGCTGCACTTTTTACACCAGTGGATTGTCAGTGTGTCCAACATGGATCTGATGTTTGATTGTGTCATTCATATAATATTCTGTTCCAGCTGCTGGAGGAGAACATCGTCACTTTTGTGAAGAACGAGCTGAAGAAGATCCAGAAGGTTCTGAGTTCAGATTACCCAGAATGCTTAGAGAGTCAGAGGGAGGATGAGGAGGTGTTGGATGGTGAGGATGAAGAGCAGAGGAGGAGCAGCAGAGAGGCATTTCTGAAGATCACACTGAACTTCCTGAGGAGAATGAAGCAGGAGGAGCTGGCTGACTGTCTGCAGAGCAGTAAGAGGATTTCTATAAAGATTTAACATGATGGATAAATGGGACGTTTACTAATGTCTCAAGAGACGGACCAAAATATATTCATATACTCATTCTTTGAGGAAATGACATGTTGAAATATTTTCTTTGTCTTACTGATCTTCTTTGTTGTGTTCATTCAGGAAGTTATTCTGCAGTCTGTCAGCGTAAACTGAAATCTAACCTGCAGAAGAAGTTCCAGTGTGTGTTTGAGGGGATCGCTAAAGCAGGAAACCCAACCCTTCTGAATCAGATCTACACAGAGCTCTACATCACAGAGGGAGGGACTGCAGAGGTCAATGATGAACATGAGGTCAGACAGATTGAAACAGCATCCAGGAAACCAGACAGACCAGAAACAACCATCAGACAAGAAGACATCTTTAAAGCCTCACCTGGAAGAGATGAACCAATCAGAACAGTGATGACAAAGGGAGTGGCTGGCATTGGGAAAACAGTCTTAACACAGAAGTTCACTCTGGACTGGGCTGAAGACAAAGCCAACCAGGACATACAGTTCACATTTCCATTCACTTTCAGAGAGCTGAATGTGCTGAAAGAGAAAAAGTACAGCTTGGTGGAACTTGTTCATCACTTCTTTACTGAAACCAAAGAAGCAGGAATCTGCAGGTTTGAAGAGTTCCAGGTTGTGTTCATCTTTGACGGTCTGGATGAGTGTCGACTTCCTCTGGACTTCCACAACAATGAGATCCTGACTGATGTTACAGAGTCCACCTCAGTGGATGTGCTGCTGACAAACCTCATCAGGGGGAAACTGCTTCCCTCTGCTCGCCTCTGGATAACCACACGACCTGCAGCAGCCAATCAGATCCCTCCTGACTGTGTTGACATGGTGACAGAGGTCAGAGGGTTCACTGACCCACAGAAGGAGGAGTACTTCAGGAAGAGATTCAGAGATGAGGAGCAGGCCAGCAGAATCATCTCCCACATCAAGACATCACGAAGCCTCCACATCATGTGCCACATCCCAGTCTTCTGCTGGATCACTGCTACAGTTCTGGAGGATGTGATGAAGACCAGAGAGGAAGGAGAGCTGCCCAAGACCCTGACTGAGATGTACATCCACTTCCTGGTGGTTCAGACCAAAGTGAAGAACATCAAGTATGATGGAGGAGCTGAGACAGATCATCACTGGAGTCCAGAGAGCAGGAAGATGATTGAGTCTCTGGGAAAACTGGCTTTTGATCAGCTGCAGAAAGGCAACCTGATCTTCTATGAATCAGACCTGACAGAGTGTGGCATCGATATCAGAGCAGCCTCAGTGTACTCAGGAGTGTTCACACAGATCTTTAAAGAGGAGAGAGGACTGTACCAGGACAAGGTGTTCTGCTTCGTCCATCTGAGTGTTCAGGAGTTTCTGGCTGCTCTTCATGTCCATCTGACCTTCATCAACTCTGGAGTCAATCTGATGGAAGAACAACAAACAACATCCCGGTGGTCTAAAGTCTTCAAAGACAAACAGAATCTGAAGTATCTCCACCAGAGTGCTGTGGACAAGGCCTTACAGAGTCCAAATGGACACCTGGACTTGTTCCTCCGCTTCCTCCTGGGTCTCTCACTGCAGACCAATCAGAGACACCTACGAGGTCTGCTGAGACAGACAGGAAGTAGCTCACAGACCAATCAGGAAACAGTCCAGTACATCAAGAAGAAGATCAACCAGGATCTGTCTGCAGAGAGAAGCATCAATCTGTTCCACTGTCTGAATGAACTGAATGATCGTTCTCTAGTGGAGGAGATCCAACAGTCCCTGAGTTCAGGACGTCTCTCCACAGATAATCTTTCTCCTGCTCAGTGGTCAGCTCTGGTCTTCATCTTACTGTCATCAGAAGAAGATCTGGACGTGTTTGACCTGAAGAAATACTCTGCTTCAGAGGAGGCTCTTCTGAGGCTGCTGCCAGTGGTCAAAGCCTCCAACAAAGCTCTGTAAGTACAGAGACAGCTGGATTCATATATCCTAACTTAAATGCTCTGTTGGCTTTTCAACTTACTATCTTTTTCTTTATTATATTGTCTCTTCAGACTGAGTGGTTGTAACCTCTCAGAGAGAAGCTGTGAAGCTCTGTCCTCAGTTCTCAGCTCCCAGTCCTCCAGTCTGAGACACCTGGACCTGAGTAACAACGACCTAAAGGATTCAGGAGTGAACCTTCTGTCTGATGGACTGAAGAGTTCACACTGTACACTGGAAACTCTCAGGTCAGGATTCATCAACATGTTCAACTGATGGCCACTTAGATCCTGATTTACATTAGTCGATAAACTCATGACCATCACAGGATTGTCTCTGCTGATCTAATTTCAAACCAGTTGTGTTTTGTGTTTCAGTCTCTTTCCATCAACATGTTTTATATTGTTTTTTTCCCTGTTGTTGGAACTTGAAATATCAGAGAGGAATCAGTGATGTTGTCAGATAGTTGGTGGACATTAGTGGGTGTTTGGTTGTGACTAGAAAAAAGTCAGTAATAATGTTGATGTAATCCTACAGTAGGCGACAGTATGGCAGTACTGTGGTACCCACCCTCAGATTATGTGACATGTGTGTTGTCTTGTGTGTTTGCAGTCTGTCAGGCTGTCTGATCACAGAGGAAGGCTGTGTTTCTCTGGCCTCAGCTCTGAGCTCCAACCCCTCCCATCTGAGAGAGCTGGACCTGAGTAACAACGACCTGAAGGATTCAGGAGTGAACCTTCTGTCTGATGGACTGAAGAGTTCACACTGTACACTGGAAACTCTCAGGTCAGGATTCATCAGCATGTTCATCAACCTGCAGAGGGCTGTACCATGAAGCAAGATCAGTGACTTAGCCAGACATGTTGAGTTGGGTTTTCCGTACTACAAAGGTGGCTCTTTTGACCTGGCTAGATTGCCATGGTCAACTGTGCTACAAACCTAACCTGCTTGGGACAAGTTTATGCTCCGAGTTTCGGCTTCAAATCAGCTAAAAAGTACCTTTCACTGCTCCTTTGAGAAGCATCACTCTATAATCGATGTGAATATATGAGCGATGCAGATTGTTAGCTGAGGGAAAACATTATGGGCTCTAGTTTCCCGGCGCAGCGCAGGGTGGCGCAAGGTGGCGAACCCCGCGCAGAGCTAGTTTCGAGCAGCGCAACCTGAGGCGCGCTCAGTTTGGTAGATTTGCAGACCGAGGTGCTCTGAGATGGGTGTGGCGGCGCAGCAGGGGGAGGTGTCGACAGATCCAGCTTGGCGCAGTGACAGTTTTGTGCCAAAAGGCTTCGCCGAAGGTGCGCTAAAAGCTTGCCATCTGAAACCAGGTTTACTGTCAGTGCAGGCGGAGCGCAGCACAGCCGGTGTAAGCCGAAGTTTGGCTGACCGGCGGACAGTGCTCACACGTCACCAAAACCTCACAGGCAGGTTTCCAGAATATCAGGCACATTAACAATGCAATAAATAGCCACAAAACCACTATTCAATGCAACTATCTGCAATCAGCACATAAATGTATCTCTATATCGACTGTCCCGTCACATCTGATGTCAGATCAAAGGAGATTGGCACCGTTTGGCACGCATAATGATGATTGATTAACACATATATACTTGATTAACACATATATACTCCCTATCTGATGCCACAGCATCAGATAGGGAGTATATATTCAGCATCTGTCATCTTAGAAAAGTCAAAAGAAAAGAAACAGAGTGAGACTGCCAGAGAGAAAGAGAGAGAGCGCGTGTGCACAAGAGAAACGCAACATTATCTTACAATTGTGGTGACCTCCTACCAGGCTACCATTGCATCATCAGCCCGTGGAGGTCTGCTCGCAGTTCCGTATATTCGGACACTGCGAGCAGACCTCCCGGACCAAAACATAAGTTTCCTCCTGGGAGGAGTTTGGCTGTCTGACGCTGCTGCTCTCTTCTGCCATGGCGAATTGAGTAAACTCTCATTACGCCTTCGCGTATCGCATTTAAGGGCGAGGAGAGGGGCTATATTAATATTAATTCAAACACTCCTCTCTGGCTGTAACTGAAGCCACAGTGTTGCTTTTTATTTTTCAAGATTCCTCAAAGGTGGAAGTAGGCGGCACGTGATCGATCAATTTTAAAGGTCAGTTGATGCACTGAACGCATCATTTGACTTGTTTTATGTAAACGTGCAAAGCCTGAAGAAGAAAGCCTGAGTTAACAAACAGTTGACAACCACCTTTATGGTGTCTGTTATCTCTGACTGAGACTTTAGGGTTTGTTGAGTCAGCTCAGACAAAGAGAGACTGGTTCTGTTGAACTGGCTTCGTGGTGCAGCCCTCTGGTTTGTGGGCTCATATCAAATAATACTGCAGGATGTGCTGATGCTCATCATCTGACACCAGTGTGTGTTGCCCTTAAGCCTACAAATTATTGTCCAAAGACAAAGAAACAGATAAGACCATTACCATGTAATAGTGAATCAGTGTAAACAGTCTTGATAAATCATCAGAATGTTTGTTTTGCGCTGACAGAGAGTTCCCTGGCTGATAAGAGTCGACTGGTTGTGGGACTCACCACAGAAACTACTGTACTACTACTACTGTAATATTTTCAGCTCCAGATTACAGACAATAAAAACCAGTGCTGACTGTTGCTAGGAGACAGGATGTGAACAGCAGTGTCAGTCAGACACTTTGTACATCCAACCATCCACCCTGACCTCCTCTATCAGAGGTTCTGTCTCCTTTACTTCTGACAGNTTTTACTTTTTAAGATTCTTCAAAGGAAGAAAGCCTGAGTTAACAGACAGTTGACAACCACCTTCATGGTATCTGTTATCTCTGACTGAGACTTTAGGGTCACACCCACCTGACTCCAAAATGGTTGCAACATGTGACCATTTGGTTGCAGTCTGGAGCCCTGTGTGTGTATGAGAGTGATGTAATGTCCATGTTTCCATGGTGAAAGAGGAAGTGCTGCTCTGACCCCCCTTCTCCTTTCAGGGTGGAGCCTGGTGGAGTCCGATGGTTGAGACCAGGTCTGAGGAAGTGTAAGTGTGTTTTTAATTTGATCTTCAGACTGTGACATCACTCATTCAAATCTCTGATGTTGTCATCAGAGTGATGATAGATGAATAACTGCAGCTGTATTGTGTCTTCTTCTCTCCATCAGATTTCTGTGAACTCACAATCGACACAAACACAGTGAACGGACACCTCAAGCTGTCTGACAACAACAGGAAGGTGACACATGTTATGGAGGAGGATCAGTCATATCCTGATCATCCAGACAGATTTGACATCTTGACTCAGCTGCTGTGTAGAACTGGTCTGACTGGTCGTTGTTACTGGGAGGTCAAGTGGAGAGGAGGGGTTTATATATCAGTGAGTTACAGAGGAATTAGGAGGAGAGGAAACAGAGAGGACTGTGTGTTTGGAAGGAATGATCAGTCCTGGAGTCTGATCTGCTTTAATGGTTATCGTTACTCTGTCTGGCACAATAACAGAACGACATCCATCTCCATCTCCTCCTCCTCCTCCTCCTCCTCCTCCTCCTCCTCTGGTAGAGTAGCAGTGTATGTGGACTGTCCTGCTGGCACTCTGTCCTTCTTCAGAGTCTCCTCTGACACACTGATCCACCTCCACACCTTCAACACCACATTCACTGAACCTCTTTATCCTGGGTTTTTGCTCTGGTCACGTGATTCCTCAGTGTCTCTGTGTTCTCTGTAGGAGGGAGAGTCTCCTCCTGTTAGAGAAACTTTCTCACTGCTGAACAGATAGTTCAGTCTGTACAGGATCACACACAGCTGATGGTAGTTCACAGAATGTGTGTAGGATGTGAGTTTGTCCTGAGGGTGGCGCTAAAGAAAACACTCTGGACTCCACAGATGACTCGTTTTCTGCTCAACTTTGTTTTTTTCTTCTTTGTGATTTTTGTGTAAAGTTTTAATTTCTCTTCATTCTCCTTCCAAAGTTTTCCTCCAGTTTTTCTTGTCTCTGTGTCTGTGAGACAAATGTCTGCATGAGTCTCACTGAGAAATGCAGTCAGCAGGACAGACAGAGGACAGGGACAGATCTGGGTCCAGGCAAACTCTCGGGTGCTGAAGGTCCACAGGATGCAGAGAGACAGAGGGAAGACACAAAGAGTCCTTCATGCTGTCAACAGCTGACATCATGTGGACTTGTGTTGTCCTCTGTTGTTGTCTTGTGTAGAGGAACAGCCTCCCTTGAACCAGTATTACCAATGAACAAGACCCACCAGACCATCGGGGGTCAAATGTTTAGGACTCACCCCTGTATCACCCGACTGGACAACAACTTTTTTCAGCCATCCTTAGGCCAAAAGGAGGTAAAAAGTCACTTGGGATCCCTCAAGTTTCAGATGCCATCTTAAAGTATCCAGCGTTGGGGCAAAACGCGGTGATGACTGACCCACTAGTTGTCTAAGACAATCCTTCTTTTTTCCACCACATCCTGTCCCTTCCTGCCATCCCAGGAAAGCACGCCCTCCCCTCTCTTACCAAATGTTCTTTGTGACCAAAATTGAAATGTCTGTTGGACGTGAAATTATACATTTTATCCATATTATGTGTTTGAAGTGTAGAAATATAATTGGGGTTCATTAATCAACTTGTTTTAATAGCATAGCATTAATATGTGCTTCCTCATTTTGTTTTTCATTATATGTTGCCACTATAGGTTGCTTTCATGTATTCATTTTAACTGGATGTTAAGAACCGATTTTGACCATAATGAGAAGAGTATGTGCCTATCGCGCTATAGCGCGTAACATGTCAAAGTATATGTCACAGGACCACATATATATATATATATATATATATATATATGTATATATATGACCTGGTATAATAAGAAGCATTAAGTTTCTTTTGAAATAAAGTAATCAGCCTGTTTTACAACTAAGAAGACTGCCTTATCAGATCTGCCCACTTTGGCCGGTTAAAACGTGTGATCTGGTGCGCTCGCTCTGCTCTCTGTTCTCTCTAGTGTGTGTCTCTTGTCTCTCTGTTTCCTCACTCTTGTCTCTCTCTGTTTCATGCTCTTCTTCTTAATTTTTTTGTTTCTTCTTTTTTGTATCTTAGCCTCTTTAGTATTTACGTTTTAGTTACGCTTTTATACTCTCACCTCAAAGTTATTTTAAACTTTTCACCGTTATTATAAGCGAGTAATTATAACAAAGTCGACAAGTGCCTTTTTCGACCTGCCTCTTCACCCAAAGATTCATCAAACCCAGCGACTGCCAGCCACTTGCCACAGTGGTTCTTGTGCCAAACCCAAAGGCTTTTTGTAGCGTAAGGAAAACGACATGGAGGTACCTGTTGTGTGCCCATCTTAATACTCAATTAGACAGTGCATTCCGAATCTAATCATGACATGAAGCTTCTTCTTTTACTTGCTTTATTGTCCAAACTGACAGTAACATCACAAGTCCGCATTGCACACCTCTGGGCTGCCGTGATTCCAAACTTCCTGTTTTTCTAACCATGTGACCTACGTAACCCAATACATGACATCCCTCCTTTTCTTTGAAATAAACCTATCCTCTTAAACAAACTCTGCATTGTACCAAACATAAGTATCTTTTTGAATACATTGATTAGCTTTACCTCTCAACTCTTTCATTAGATTAATAACCATTCAATAACTAGATTTCTTTTTTCCAACAGTAACTTTTCAGCAAAACTTTTCACAATACATTCACACTCTGTATAATGTTCACTTCAATACAAAAAATTGCCAAATCTTTCAGGTGCCCTCTTAACCCTTTGAGGTCTGGCTCTTGTCATGTCTGACATTTGAGTGTCCTGGGGTGGGGTTTGAGTGATATTAGTCTGTGCTTGTGTGTCCGCATCAAGAACACTATCCTCCTCTCCTGGTGTCTCTTCCGGTGTACTCTGTGTTTTCTTATGCCTGGTGGTCTCATATCTTTTCACATGTGTAGTGTTTCTCCGATAGCATGCTCCTGTTGGAGATTCGACCACATCTTGATTGATTTCCTGTTTTACTGACAATTTTGTGTGGTGTTCTGTTGAATGGTGTGGAAAACTTGTCCACTCTGTCCTGCTGTATAAGTACTGTGTCTCCAATGTCCACTTTTGAGTACTGAGCCCCCCTTCTTTCATCAGCATATTATTTTGCCTTTCCTTTCTGCTCTGCATCTCTATCACGTACCTCCAGCGCTGATGTGCGTGATTCACCGATGTCTGGTAACTTTCCCCTTATTTTTCGGTTAAAGAGGAGTTCAGCAGGGCTTTTTCCTGTAGTGTTATGTTCTATGCCACGGTACACAGTCACATATTTTCTCAGTTCACATTTCCAATCCAATCCTTCTGCTTGAGCAATTTTAATCCTCTTCATCAGAGATGAATTTTGGCGCTGAACTTCTCCATTTGCTTGAGCCCATTTTGGTGTTGTCCTCACATGTTTAATTCCATTAGTTTCACAGTATTCCCTGAATAATTCAGATTTGAACTGTGGTCCGTTATCCAATTTGCAGGTGACAGGTAATCCATGTCTGCTGAAAATTGACTCCAGACTGTCAATGACTTTCTCTGCCGTTGTAGAGGTCAGAACATCATACTCATAATAACGACTGTAGTAATCTACTACCACAAGTATGGAATGATTGGTTGGTAGTGGTCCTAGCAGATCTATTGCCACATCCTGCCAAGGACCGTCTGGTAGTGATGTGGTTCTCAGTGGCTCAGGTGGGTCAGGTCTGGCTACAATTTGACATCCATGACATGCCTTGCAATATCTCTCAGCTGTTTTATCCATGCCAGGCCACCAAAGGTTGGTTCTGAGATGCTGTTTGGTTCCCACAATACCTAAGTGTCCTTCATGAGCCAGCATAAGCGCTCTGGCTTGTAGGCTTTGTGGCAGCACTATGCGATTTCCATGGAGAACTAGGTATCCCACTACACATAGTTCATTCGCAATTGGTGCATACGGTTTACATTTCTCAAAGTGTCCATTTGTGATTGCCTTGCATCCTCCACTAGTTCTGGGTCAGTAACAGAGGCTTCCTCCACCTCTCTGGTTGTAAGTGCTTTAGGTGTAGCACTCACTGCAACAAATCTCACATACTTTTCTGACTCATGTTTGTGTATCTCCTTCTTAGCTGTGTCCCCAAGCAGCCGTGACAGTGGGTCTGCTATGTTCTGTTTTCCTGGTACGTGCACCACTCTGAAGTCATATGGCTGTAATCTGAGGACCCAGTGTTTTATGCGCGCACATGGTTTAGATCGCTGACTATATATGACTTCCAATGGCTTGTGGTCAGTGACAAGATCAAACTTCCTGCCATACACGTACGGATGTGGTCTCTCACAAGCCCATACCAGAGCTAATGCTTCACGCTCTGTCTGAGAGTATCTCCTCTCACACTCCGTCAGGCTGCGGCTCACGTAGCACACAGGTACCATCTCTCCTTGCTGGTCCTGCACTAGCAGCCCACAGGACTTGCATCTGCTATCACCTTTGTTGGTGCTTCTTTATCAAAGTAGGCTAGGGTACCAGTTCTGGCTAGCTCATCCTTTAAAGCTTGAAATGCTTGTTTCTGTTCCAGTCCAAAGTTGAATGGTGTCTCCTTTTGGGTCAGGCGTCGCAGTGGTTCTGACAGTGTTGCAAACTGTGATATGAATCTGCTGCTGTAACCGACAAGTCCCAGGAAACTTCTCACCTCTGTGGCGTTCTCTGGTTCTCTGGCCTCCATCACAGCTCTCACTCTCTCTTCTGTGGGTCCAATGACTTTCTGTGACAAAAGTATCCCCATGAATATTAGTTTGTTCATGCCGAACTGGCACTTGTGTGGATTCAGTGTTAGTCCACATTCTGCGAGTCTCCTCATGACAGCGTGCAGGCGCTTGTCATGTGTTTCCTGGTCTGGTGCGTGCACAATCACATCATCTGAGATGTTCTCTACACCTTCAATGCCAGTCAGTGCAGCAGCTATCTCGTGCTGGTATTGCTCGCTGGCTGATGATACCCCAAATATCAGTCTCTTGTATCTGTATACTCCGTTGTGCACTGCAAATGTCGTTATTTCCCGCAACTCTGGTGTCAGTTCGAACTGATGATAGCCCATTTCAGGTCCAGCTTACTGAATATAGCTGAGCCATTCATGCCTTGGAGTATTTCATCCACAGTCGGAATAGGGTACCGTTCCCTCACGATTGCCTCATTAGCTCTTCTCATATCTAGACACATTCTGATATCCTTGTCAGGCTTTGGGAGCACCACTACTGGGTTCACCCACGGGGTGGGGCCCTCGACACGTTCTATAATGTCCATGTCAATCAGTTCTTGTATCTTTTTCTCTCCAGCCTCCCTGAGATTGTACGGTATACGTCTGAGTGGCTGGGCTACAGGTTTCACTTTTGGGTCTATGTACAGGCTAATCTGCTTGGTGTTCAACTTTGCCACTCCTCTGAATACATTTGGGTATTGCTGCTGGAGAGTGTCTTTAATGTCTGTAACAGCTGAGACATTTTCACCTATTTTCAGCACTCCTAACTTCATGGCCTTCTTTTCCCAAGGAGTGGTTCACCATTACCTTTAATCACAATGAATTCTGCCTGTTCAGTTTTGTTACCAATTGTGATTTCACACTTGAATGCCTCTTTAACTGGCAGTGATTGACTGGATGAGTATGGGTACAGGTTTCTCTGTTCTTTTGGCACATATGAATGACACTTTATCTTTTCTGCCTTCAATCTGTTCCACACATTTTCTCCCATCACATTGCTTGTAGCACCTGAGTCTACTAACATTTTCAAGTCTATTCTCCCCACACAAAAGGTAAGTCTCT